AGGCAGAGGCAGGAGACTCACTTGAGCCCAGGAGTTGGAGGTTGCAACTGTGATGCCACAGCACTCTACCCAGGGTGACAGCTTGAGGCTCTCAAAAAAAAAAGAAGAGACTTGGTGACAGAGGCTCCTAGAGACACAGGTCCCTGCATCCCACCCTGCTGTGGGCTGCCCCCACTCAGGAAGATGTGGAGGTTTCTGTCTCCTTTCCTCATCAGGAAAGAAATTTCAATTGAGCGCTGGTAGAACAGGCAAAGACACTCAAGGAACTCACAGGCCTCTGTGCTCCCAGGGCTCATGTAAAGTCAAGTCCCTGTTTCTCTAAGACAGTGATGGCTTAGAATACTCCTCGGGTACAGGGGGTTGGCATCTCTTGTGTGTACTAATTTATAAAATCCACAGAGCTGTGAACCCAAGACCTGTGGCCTGTACAACACATATACTAGATCACGAAAACAGCCCTGTGCCCAGCAGAGAGGCCTGGTCTACCCCAGTCCCATCCCTCAACACCACCAGGCCATAGCTGGGGTAGGACCCAGGCACAATGTGCAGGGTAGCCTGCATAGGCATGTCCTCCTCCCCAACCCAAGCCATGGGATGTGACACTTACTGCAGAGCTGCTCGATGGTGGCCCACTGCTCAGACCTCTTCCACGTCTGTGCAAGCTCTTCATCTCTAGTCCTCACCGCCTCCAGAAGCAAGCTGATGCTGTCCTGCAGGAAGCAAGAGGAAGGGTCCAGCCCGCTGTCTCAGGTGAACAGATCCTTGTTAATAGGTTTCTTCTTCTTCAACATCAAGATATACTTCAGAGGAAATTTTAAAATCTTATAGGTTGGCACTATAAAATGTTAAGTAAGTGCTAAATAGAGCTAAAATTTAAATTCTTCCCAAATAGACCAGGCACAGTGGCTCATACATGTAATCTGGGAGGCTGAGGTAGATGGACTGCCTAAGCTTAAGAGTTCAAGATCAGCCTGAGCAAGAGTGAGACTTCATCTATTAAAAATAGAAAAACTAGCTGGGCGTTCTTAGTTCTAGCTTCTCCACAGGCTTAAGGCAAGAGGACTGCTTGAAGCCCAAGAGTTTGAGGTTGCAGTGAGCTATGACACCAGGGCATTCTACCCAAGGTGAAAGAGTGACATTCTGTCTCAAAAATAAATAAATAAATAAAATAAAATAATTTTTTTTTGGAGAGTCTTATTTTGTCACCCTTGGTAGAGTGCCGTGACAACACAGCTTACAGCAACTTCAAACCCTTGGGCTCAAGCTATTCTCCTGCCTCAGCCTCTCAAGTAGCTAGGACTACAGGTACCCACCACAATACCCAGCTATTTTTATTTTATTTAATTAATCTATTTATTTATTTATTTGGCTGGGGCTGGGTTTGAACCCGCCACCTCCGGCAGATGGGGCTGGGGCCCTACTCTTTTGAGCCACAGGCGCTGCCCCACCCAGCTATTTTTAAATATAGGGCCTTACTCTTGCTCAGGCTGGACTCAAACCCTTGAGCTCAGGCAATCCACCCACCTCGGCCTCCCAGAATGCTGGGATTACAGGCGTGAGCAACCTCACCCAGTCCCAAAATAAATTTTAAACAATTAAAAATACCCTAATAGCCCATCTGTGCCTCTCTTGGCTTGGGCTAACAAAGAGCCCAGAGAATAAAGCTGGCACTTTGTGTCCTGGTGGCTGAAAGATGGCAAGAGCTCTAGGCGGTGACCCCCTCTGCTCCTCAGTCCTAGCTTCTGCCTCATTCCTTCACCATGTCTGGAAAAAAAGCACACTATTCCCTAGGGTTCCCAGCCAGAGTGCAGAGAACTGACATAGCTTTATCACGAAAGGTACCCAGAGCCTTCTGGGGCTTGTAGCACCCTGGGCAATGTCCTAGACAGTGTACACTCACTAGGGCCTCACCTTTCACCACCCAACACTCAGAGGGGCAGCATCTGAACCTGGGACCAGGCGTGCATGTCACAGATAGTGAAGAGAGACACGAGTATCTGATGTCAAATATCAGAGTGGGTAGTATGCAGACAAAATACAAACTTAAGGTAAACCTAACAAGACCTAGGAACAGCTATAGTTCACTTGACAGAGCAAAGCCTTTCTCTGGCTTGGAGCCTGTAGTGGCTAGGGCACCAGTGGTTGGACTCCAGCCTGGGCCAATTATAACCAAAAAAAGTAGTTGGGCATTGTGGTGGGCACCTATAGTCCCAGATACTAGGGAGGCTAAGGCAAGAGAATCGCTTAAGCCCAAGAGTTTGATTTTGAGGTTGCTGTGAGCTGTGATGCCATAGCACTCTACTGAGGATAACATAGTGAGATTGTCTCAAAAAAAAAAAAAAGAAAAAAGAAAAAAGAAAAGAAAAGCCTTTACCTGTTCTGTCACCTTCAGGGAAAGGTGTTGAGCCAGTGGTGTCAGTGGCTTAGGAAGAATTTGTTCCTTCCTCTGACTTTTCACTGGGTCTCAGGCAGAGCATTAAGTGCCCAAGTAGGGTACCCACAACATGGCACATGCAAGGGGCCTCCTGCTGGACCTGTCATCCCTGCCCTGCCCTGCCCTGTGTAGAGTGCAGCCACAGTCTGTAGAACACCTGCCCTCTTCTGCCCCAACAGAGTGTCTTAAAAAGGCCAACTGTGCAGCCATGAACTTGGTGCCTGGAAGCTAGCCAAGCCTTCTGGGCTAGGGCAGTAAAACCAAAGCTGATTCGGGAGCAGAGTCATTAGTAAACAGCAGAGGCTGTGATTCTGAAAGTGTTAGGACAGGAAATTTTTTGAATTGTGGCTCACGCTACAGGAGTTAGCTTAAACATCTTTGCTTTCCATGTGATTATAACAAACGAAACCATCCTTCACCATGGAGGGCACACTTTGTGAAAAATTCATCTTTTTGTGAACAAGTTTCATGTGAAAAGTCACAACTGCACACCCTCTGCCCTAGGCTATGACCCAGTTTCTCAAGGACATTCAGGTTCATGAAGAAAGAGATTGAGACAAAGAGCATCTCTTTACAGCTAAAGCCCATCTGGGGACCACCAAAGCCAGGATACCACATTAGGGCCTATACCTGTAGGGGCATGACTTCATTGGTCACCAGAAACAGCAGGAGGTGGAAATCTGAGATGGTATCCAAGAACATGGATGAGGTATTCTGGGACAAATAGGTGGCCAAACTATGGAAGTCCTAGACAGAAGGAAATAAACATGAATATCCCATTACAATTCTGCAGTGCCAGACCCAGAAAGAGACCTATTTGCTACTGAGATAAATTAAATAAATTTAATGCTGAAAGAAGTCTTTCCCTCATTCTACAGCCAATGACAGGCTCTGAGAAGGAAGCACACACAGCTGCAGGGCCAGCTCCAAACCCTCTTCTAGGAAGATGCTCTTACACATCTGCCTCGCCAAGGTGCTTCCAAATACATGAGAAGCACATCTATAAAGCTGGTCCCAGAGAGACACTGCCCAACAGACAACAAATGCCCTTTGACCTCCTGGTGGACAGTGGGCTGTGGGAGGGCCACTATAGGTGTGGAGTGACTCAACTGGCCTTTCTGTCTAGCTACCTTCTTAATCGAGGGCTGTGGGACAGTACAAGGGGGACGTGGAGGGGAGCGTCACACAAACATCTCAGTAAGACCAAACACAGGGGCTTCCAGAGTGTACCCCACAATTGGCTCTGTCCTCTGAATGCACTCCATGTTCCTAGGGCAGGTGGGCAGTGAGAAGACCAGAGCATAGAGAGGCATTGTCAGCCACTTGAGAAAATCTCACGATAGACATCATTTACCAACCTGTTGTCTAAAATGTCTACTAGAAAATCATGGCCTAAGAATAGACATGTGCACACAGGCTGCTCATGTGGTCTGCATAAGGTAGTAATAGCAATTTGGGTCTGGCTTGATTTGCTGGTGGGAGCAGAAGGTCAGACGAAGGCTGTAGTTAAGTAAGCAGATTAAGGCCATGTGGGGTCACACAGCACTGAGGGTGCTGAGCAATGAAGCAGCATGACAGGCAAGGGGAACCAGATCATATCAACAACAAAAAAGTTGTTTGGGGGTGGTGCCTGTGGCTCAGTGAGTAGGGCGCCGGCCCCATAAACCGAGGATGACGGGTTGAAACCCAGCCCCAGCCAAACTGTAACAAAAAATAGCCGGGCGTTGTGGTCCCAGCTGTAGTCCCAGCTACTCGGGAGGGTGAGGCAGGAGAATCGCCTAAGCCCAGGAGTTGGAGGTTGCTGTGAGCTATGACTCCACAGCACTCTACCAAGGGCAATAAAGTGAGACTGTGTCTCTAAAAAAAAACCAAAAAAAAAAGTTGTTTGGGCTGGAGCGGTGGCTCATGCTGATAATCCCAGCACTCTGAGAGACTGAGGCAGTGGATCACCTGAGCTCAGTAGTTCAGGACCAGCCTGAGCAAGAGTAAGACCCTGTCTCTAATAAAAATAGAAAAACTAGCTGGGCATGGGGGCACCTATAGTCCCAACTACTCAAGAGGCTGAGGCAGAAGGATAGCCTGAGCCCCAGAGTTTGAGGTTGCTGTGAGCTATGAGGCATGACACTACCCAGGGCTACAAAGTGGGACTTTGTCTCAAGTAAAAGTTGTTTGCAGAAGACACAAAGTGACAAATTTTGGAAAAATTAAGCCAACTAAGTATGGTACTTGTAGCAAATCTGCAGGCCTGAGGACTTCACGGGATTTGCTTTGCTGTGTCTCCCACCTAGCCAGAGAGGGTGTCTACATGGTCAGCAGTGCCCTAGAACAGGGTAATAGCTGGACTTCGTCACAAGAATAAATCAGCGAAGTTTGAAAACTTACTACTTTTTGTTAAAATAATACCAACACTAAATACTTGTAATCAGCAGTTACTTTAAATCATGTTTCTAAAGATAAGAGCTTACCTGTGTCTCACCCAGCACATCCCGGTTTTCAATAGGAAATGGATTTTGCGAAATAGAAAAAGTATGAACTGGATCCTTGGGGAAAGTTGTTGTGATCTGACAAACAAAACACAAACTTGTGAGAAATCAGGCTACACATGATGTGAGTAGCTCCCAAGTAGCCCAAAGCACCCCTGAGCCTGAGCTAAACACAGCAATCCTCAGAGTCCTACAAGGTCTACTTAAAAAGGAACAGTTGGCTTGGCGCCTATAGCTCAACCGGCTAAGGCGCCAGCCATGTACACCTAAGGTGGCGAGTTCGATTCCCCAGCCCGGACCCGCCAAACAACAATGACGGCTGCAACCAAAAAATAGCCGGGCGTTGTGGCAGGCGTCTGTGGTCCCAGCTACTTGGGAGGCTGAGGCAGGAGACTCACTTGAGCCCAGGAGTTGGAGGTTGCTGTGGGCTATGATGCCACAACACTCTACCCAGAGGGATAGCTTGTCCCCTTGAGCTGTCTCAAAAAAAAAAAAAAAAAAAAAATTGTTCTTCATTCAAAGAACCATGTTCATGGTTGGGCATGGTGACTCACACTAGTGATCCCAGCACTCTGGGAGCCTGAGACAGGAGGATCCCTTGAGCTCAAGCTGAGCAAAACTGAGACCCTATCTCTGCTAAAAATAGAAAAACTAGCCAGGTATTGTGGTGGGTACCTATAGTCTCAGGTACACGGAAAACTGAGACAGGAGGATCACTCAAGCCCAGGAATTTGAGGTTGCTGTGACCTATATGACTCAATGGCACTCAATCCAGGGCAACAGAGAGAGATTCTGTCTCAAAAACAAAACAAGATGCTCCTCATCTGGGCAGTTTCAGTACACAGGCCTCCAGGACTCCAGCTTCTTAGGACCGGACCACCTGTACGCAAGCATCACCTGACAGGTGAACATGCCACTCTCATTCTGCTGTGAGGAACTAAAGAAGGCCAGAGAAATACAAAGAAGAGAATGCAGGAACTGAGTGTTCAGGGTGTAAAGTTCATGGCTCTGGGTTTGGAGAGCATGCACAGAGTTGACCAGTGATGGTTTTAAGAAAGAAAATAATGGGGCAGTGCCTGTAGCTCAAAAGGATAGGGCACTGGCCCCATAGGCCAGAGGTGGCAGGTTCAAACCCAGCCCCAGCCAAAAACAAAAAAGCAGAAGAAACAAAATAATGGCTTGGTGCCCGTAGCTCAGTGGGTAGGGTGCCGGCCACATACACTGAGACTGCCAAGTTCGAACCCAACCCAGGCCAGCTAAAACGACGACAACTGCAACAACAACACTAGCTGGGCATTGTGGCAGGTGCCTGTAATCCCAGCTACTTGGGAGGCTGAGGCAAGAGAATTGCTTAAGCTCAAGAGTTTGAGGTTGCTGTGAGCTGTGGTGTCATAGCACTCTATCAAGGGCAACAAAATGAAACTCTGTCTCAAAATGAACAAACAAAAAAAAGACAACAACAACAAAAAAATAGCCGGGTGTTGCAGTGGGCACCTGTACTCCCAGCTACTTGGGAGGCTGAGGCAAGAGAATTTCTTAAGCCCAAGAGTTTGAGGTTGCTATGAGCTGTGACGCCATAGCACTCTACCAAAGGTGACATAGTAAGACTCTGCCTCAAACAAGAAAATAAAGAAATAAAACAGCCTTGCGGCAGCCTGCTAAGCCCCCTTTTGAACACTAGGGAGCTGCTCCATGGAGCCTGTGGGCTTCACCAGGCATGGATGGGTGAGGAACACAGGGCACTGCCCTCTGCTCTGCCTGTAGCCAAGAGCTTATGTAGAAAAATGAGCTTAGTCCTAGGTTCAGACATGCTCTAACAGCAACAGAGAGCATTTTAAATCTAACAGAGTCAACAGAAGTTACACGGCAACTGTGCAAGAGTCAATGCAGATACACACTTATCTGGGCAAATGCCCCTCCCCACAAAAGCACCCACTTGGGAGCCAGCAGCCACCTTTTTATTGACCTAGCTTGTCCTCTGCATATGACACCAGCAGCAGCTGACCACACCTCTTATAAATCTAGGATAGCAGGCTCAGTGCCTATAGCTCAAGCCGCTAAGG